CAGCCCCACAGCCCAACACTCAACCACTGCACCACTAGGGGAGGCCCACTGATAATTTAAGTATATCTGCAGGGGTTTGTCAGAGCTGAGCTATTCATGCCCTTTAGCAAAAAGAGTGTACCTTCATGTAAGACACACAAAGCAGGGAAACGACAAAGATCAGATCCGGTTACCTACTCTTTCTCACTCTCAAAATACTGCTTTTTTTACTTTGATCTGTTATGACCTACTCATTATAGCTGTGTATAAGTTATATGGACCTGAGGGGCTCTGTATTAAGAATGTTATCTTTTATTATATATTGACAATTTGGATACTTTGTGTTCATCTTTCTAAGTTGTTTTCTGTGAAGTAATTTGCCAGCTAAGCAAATAGCTCAGCAAAAACAAAGAATAATCTTGTTTAAAAAAAAATAACAAAATGGGGCCTCCCCTGGTGGCTCAGGCGGTTGAGCATGGCGCTGTGAAGCTGTCTGCTGCCTCTGCAGCGCAGGTTTGATTCCAGCCAGCCGGTGAGGCTGCTCCCCTCAGCAGTGTCTTTGGTCGGTCTGCCTGTTCTGTTCCCTGCTCTATCTCTGGTGAATCCTCTCACCCTCCAGCGAATCTGGCCTGTACCCCGGTTCTTGTGTAAATAAAAAAAAAAAATCTTAAAATAACAAAATATATTCATCTCCCAGATGAATCTATCTATAGATATAGATGTAAAATGCAGAAAGTGAATATAAATGGATTTGGGAAAGGAATGAGGGGAATGCCTGCAAATGCTTGTGCCACAACCACCTGTGACTTAAGAACCTCCTCAGACATTCTTAATTTTTTTGTCTGACTCCTATTGCATTTATATTAATATTAATGTTATCCCTGAAACTCTATGAAACAACTGACTCCTCTCCCCAATTCATTTTCAGAAATATTTTTATTGACCTAATAATAGTGTGTCTAAACTAAATGCCAGTCAGTGGTGATGAAATTGTGAGTAAAACAGGCATGTTTTTAAACTCATAGAATTTACTGGTTGCCTACAGTGTGTTAGAACTTTGAGAAATACAAACATGAGTAACTTTACTTAGACTAAATAAAAATCTGTGCATTAACCTGCCCTGGCCTCCCTTCCTCCCTCTTCTTCAGGGGGAGGGGTCATCTTTCCATCAGCAGGTAGCAAGACCAGTTCAAGCATTCATCCTGTTGCTTGTGGACTGTTGTAACCACTTTCCTCTCCCTTGCAGTCGGTGAAAGGCATTCTTGGCAGAGAACTTTGAAAAACAAATCTGATTTAATTACTCTTTAGACTCTCAAACTTCACATCTAGCCACAGTATTCAGTTCCAGTTTCTCCAGCATATCATTACGAAGTCCTTTCCTAATCACAGCCTGCCTTTGCCAGGCTCATGTTTATGCTCTTTGCTCTAACTCCTGGGCTATCCTGTCCATTCTTCATATTTTAAGACTTTTTCTAATATTACCACCATCACTCTATTGCCACTAGAATTATTATTCTTATCCTACCTTGCTCCTATTTTCCACTTGCACATTATATCAGATTGGCTAGTTTTGCATTTCTATGCCCTTGGCCAAACACAGCCAAAAGTAGAAGGGATTATGTCTTGTCATTTTAATCACAGTATGTGCATAGTCCTTGTAGTATAGTAACCATCAACATGTGTTTGAGCTGAATTTGAAGACAGTGTCTGAAGTCTGAAAATTCAGTCTTATAAGTAGATACACAGCTTCCTATAATGCTAGGTAATATATAGTGATCTAACTAAAATTGTAAAGATTTCTTGAAATTATGATCATGCTTATGCCTCTTCTATATCCTTTATGCTCTACTTTGCCCTGACATTTTATTGGGTGCATAATTACCCTTCACATGCTTGACTAAATGTAGGAAAGAAGACACAATAGCAGTCTAGTAGATTCTACCTCCCATAATTGCAAACCTCTCTCATTCTACAACCTCGAGGGATGTAGCATCCTCTGACTATTGACGAGAGATGTTATAGTTATGAAAATATCATGAACAAAGGCAGTGCACTGTGATAGTAAATAAAACTCCCATATAAAAGCTATAAAAGGTAGATTCTTCAACCTGGAGGCATTATTTCGCTTAAGCAATTTTACTCCAAGGTGACTAGCAAACTGGCTATTAAAAAATTGGAAAGAATTTCTTATTGTAAGAGACTACACAATTTAAATTCTTGTAAAGACCATCACAAATTTAAAACTTTTATTTAAAGCCTCATCTTTCTTTTTCTGTGTGTGTGGAAAAAAAATTTCCTCTCAAGCAAGCATTTGCATTTGCTTTTTTTCATTTATATCTTGTCTTTACACTTGATAAATGCATCTAAACTTTTAAGTCTTTGTTGTAAGTTGTAACTTTTTAGTTCTCATGGAACTTAAAAGCTGTCTTGGACATCCACTGTTAAGAATACATCACAACCAGTTTTTATCTATAAAACTACATTCTTAATCATTAAGAATTCGTTTTGGGGCCTCCCTGGTGGCACAGTGGGTTGAGCGCAGCGCTGTGAAGCTGTCTGCAGCCTCTGCAGCTCGGGTTCGATTCCCAGCCAGCCAGGGAGATTCCCACGTGGTGTGGCAGACCTCTCCTGTCACGCCCGCTGCTCCCCTCAGCAGTGTATTTCAGTCATCTGCTTGTCCTGCTCCCCACTCTGTCTCTGGTGAATCCTCTCACCCTCCTGCGCCTCTGGCCTGTACCCCAGCTCTTGTATAAAAATAAATAAATCTTAAAAAAAAATTTTGTTTTGGTACAACCTTAATAAATACTTATTTGCAACTGATGGGTTCATTTTGTTTACTTGTTTTGGGAAGAAATTTTTATTTCAAATCAGTGTCTTTTTAAAGAATTGCTTTTACATATGCTGGATACAACAGTGTTACTTGAATTCTATATGATCATAAATACTGGAAATGAGGTCTCAGTCTTAAGGAGAGAATATTGAGAGTATGGCAATGGCAGAGCATAGGGCAATTTGACATAAGTGGTTTTTTTCCCCTCATATCTGAATTCCTTAAAATTACTGTCTGAAATGACTTTTGGGCTACTGGATTGCTTTTCTTTCCTATTTGCAAAAACAGTATTTTTAAAATTTATGTAGGAGAAAAGCTGTCATCTCTTGATTTGAACATTTAGTAATTATCTCTTAATTTTGCAGTGATTAGTAACTGTAAATTGCTAATTTTTGAAGCTAACTAAAACTCTGACTTAAATTTTTTATATTTGGTAAGACTGAAAGTACTCCAATGTTATAAATAATTCTGAATGAATGTACTTAAAGAATGACTAAATGATCTTCCTCCTTTTCCTTTGATTGTCTTATTTTTTGTTAGACCTTTTAGTTGATTCATGTTTATTGACCCTGGCTATATTATCAGAGATTACAATTCTTTTTTTTTTTTTTTTTAAGATTTCTTTATGCATACAAGAACTGGGGTACAGGCCAGAGGTGTGGGGGGTGAGAGGATTCACCAAAGACAGTGGGGAACAGAACAGGTGGACTGACTGAAATACACTGCTGAGGGGAGCAGCAGGTAAATCAAGAGAGGTTTGCTGCACCATGTGGATAGTTCCCTGGCTGGGGATTGAACTCGTGCTGCAGTGGCTGCAGACAGCTTCATAGGTTGCATCTTAACTCCTTGCACCATCAGGGAGGCCCAGAGAGATTACAGTTCTTTTTTTTTTTTTTTAAATGTCTGGGAGTTTGGGTTATTTTTTTTTTTTTAAGATTTATTTATTTATTTATTTATTTATTTATTTATTTATTTATTTATTTATTTATATAAGCACTGGGTACCGTCAGAAGTGTGGGAGGGTGAGAGAATTCACCAGAGCCAGAGCAGGGAGCAGAGCAGGCAGAAGGACCGAAGTACACTGCTGAGGGGAGCAGCGGGCGGCAGGAGAGGTCTGCGCGCCATGTGGGACCCTCCTCCGGTGCCTGGGGAGCAGCCAGGGATCGAACTGGCGCTGCAGAGGCTGCGGGCAGCTTCGCAACCCAGTGCTCAACCACTGTGCCACCGGGGTGGCCCGAGATTACAATTCTTAAAGGAAACAATTTTAAAGGGCCTAGTGTACTCTGGACTTGGAATACTTAATATATATTGTCTTACAGGTTGCCTTTGCTTTGGATATGGCTTTGAAAGACAAAAATCTAAAGTCTTTTAGAATACAGAAGAATAGTACTCTGAAATTATAATAATTTATATGAAAGAAATCTATCAGCATTTTATTTTTTTATAAACAGAATTGCTAAACTTTAAACATTTCCTAAATATTAATTTATAAGTCATCTATTAGAAAAGGAAAAATTTTGTTAAAACCCATAATCCATTTGTCTAGAGCTAAAATCTTGGCAGTAAAGAACTCATTATTTATATAATTGATAAAAATTAACAAGTAGATATTTATAATTTTTATAGGAAAGTTTGTTATTTTTCTCCTCCACAGAAACTAAGTTAGTGTATCTAATTTCCTTCCCTAAGAAATAATCTCATTGTCTTATTTTCTTGGGTTGCAAAGTCAACCATCATACAGGAAAAACAAATGAGAAAAGAAGACTAGCATGGGGCTTGAGACAAAGTATTTGTCATTATTGTGTTCATCTATCAATCTATTTGTGTGGGCCATGTGGTATTTTTTTTTTTAAGATTTATTTTTTTATGCATACAAGAGCTGTGGTACAGGCCAGAGATGCGGGGGGTTTGAGGATCCACCAGAGAGAGTGGAGAACAGAACAGGCAGGCTGACTGAAATACACTGCTGAGGGGAGCAGCGGGCGAGACAGGAGAGGGTCTGCCTTGCCATGTGGGTTTCTCCCTAGCTGGCTGGGGATCGAACTTGTGCTGTAGAGGCTGCGGATTGCGTCATAGTGCTGTGCTTAACCCCTTGCGCCACCAGGGAGGCCCGGGCCATGTGGTATTTTAATGATTTTTTTTTTTTTAAGATACCAAATGAGGTGAAAACAAAAAAACAAGAAGACACTGTATACTTACTATTGCGGGGATACCATGATCACAAAGGTGGTCTTTCCAGGGCGAGCATTATCTGTTACACTTCAGATCCTGACCCCTGTTATTTTCTTAAATGTGGGAAACTTGCCTGCATAATTTGTAGTATTGGGAACTGGGTTGGCTCTCCACCCTAAAATTAAAAAATGAAAATGACAATATATCTATTCCTATTCATTGTTCTATACATTTATATATTTTACTTTTACAGCCTGAGGAAGAACTTGATCCTGAAGAGAGGGACAACTTCCTCCAACAGCTCTATAAGTTTATGGAAGACAGAGGTAATTTCATTCTCATGATTAAGTAGTTACTTCCTTTACAGTTTTACATTCTATGTTATGTATTATTTTTGATAGGATTATGGGGTATATGGATTTGGATTTCAGGTAAAGTCTAAGAAACAGTTACAGCTGGCATAATTAAATCTTTGGAATAAGACAAACTTATTGATTTTGAAGAGAATACATGAGAACATAGTTTTGGTATTATTTAGATTTAGTTTCCTTGGGACTTACAGTATTTCAGAATAGAAAGTGAATGGTCATCATGTTACTCTCCATACTCGCTCATTACTCAAACTGTATTTGCAGCAAGTAAACTAGCCTATTCCTAGTCTCAACAAATTAAATGCAACAGGACATCAGTCACTATGTAAACAGAATAGTGTTTCTAGTAGAGTTTGAAGAAGTAGAACCTTTATAAGTCATCATTGTTCTTGACATTGAATTAGTCCCAGAAAATTCTCACATAAATTGATCCTAGACATTCTGTAGCCTTGAGACATCATCCTTCAAGTTACCGTCACAGTCTTTAACATTTGTGTTGATGCAGTGAAAATGGAACCATAGCTCTTTCCATTGTGTTTCTTCTTGCCTAGGCTTTTTGAACCACTAACATTTTTAGACACAGTTTGCAGTTCCAAGTTTAGTTTTATCAATTTAGTGGCAGGAAGGTTGATTTTATTAGCTATGGAAGTAAATCTAAAGATCACCACCAAAGCTGTATATATAAAATTTGTGTTGGCTTACATAATTTAAAGTTCTTTAAGTAATGCTTTTGGTTGTTGAAATTTTGGAAATTCAGAATTGGTAGCTTATTTTCAGTTTAGTATTTTTCATTTGAATAAACATTTTATTTCTACCCTCTGATATTAAAAAGGTACTCCAATCAACAAACCACCTGTTTTGGGCTATAAAGATCTCAATCTCTTCAAACTCTTTAGACTGGTTTATCATCAAGGTGGATGTGACAATGTAAGTAAGGATGCAATGAAAAGTTAAATCATCTAATATTGCATTGCTATATGCACTCTAGGTATTGAATAGATTTTCTTAATGAACATTTTAGTGTAAAGATTATTTCCCTTTGTAAATGTTAATAAATAAAAACTTAATTTTCCAGATTGATAGTGGTGCTGTATGGAAGCAAATTTATATGGACCTTGGCATTCCTATTTTGAATTCAGCTGCTTCCTACAATGTAAAAACTGCTTATAGAAAGTAAGTAGTATAGTTTATTCGTCCAAGACTATATATTTATAGGGAACATTTTCCATTTAATTTTTAACAATGAAATAAGTATATCAATCAAGGAAAAAGTATATAAAAAGCTTTAGGCTAATAGATACATGTGATTGAAAATTATTTATCTCACTGCACCAAGTCTGCTTTACTCCATTTTTCATGATGTCCTGATTCCATTTTCAAAATTAGAGAAGCAAGATGCACTGTTTATAGTCTGAAATGATAATAGATGCTATAGAACTATACCTTTTTTGATGAACAGCCTTCATATCAAAACTGTGATAGCTATGTTCAGGTTTCAGAAGCTCAGACTTTTTCAGGGATTTTATAATCTTACCTAAAACACCAAGAAATTAGTAACAGAAAAAGTATCTTCAAAAAAATGCTTGAATTTCACATTTACAAAGCATGTGTTTAAGAGTATAGCATTCAAGCCAAGCACAGACTCTCAGATTTCTTAAAATGAAATATTGTTTGTTTAGGTATCTCTATGGTTTTGAGGAGTATTGCCGTTCTGCAAATATTCAATTCAGAACTATTCATCACCATGAACCAAAAGTAAAAGAAGAACAAAAAGATTTAGAAGAATCAATGGAAGAGACTCTAAAAGTAGATCAAGAAATGCCTTTAGTAGAAGTTAAGAGTGAACCTGAGGAAAATATTGATTCAAACAGTGAAAGCGACAGAGAAGAAATAGAATTAAAATCACCAAGGGTAAGTAGTTTTTATCTGGTTTATTTTAGGCATTATTTAAAAGTTTTATTATGGACATTTTCTTTTTTTTAAAGATTTATTTATTTATACAAGCACTGGGTACAGTCAGAAGCGGGGGAGGGTGAGAGAATTCACCAGAGCCAGAGGGGAGAGTAGAGCAGGCAGATTGACGAGGTATACTGCTGAGGGGAGCAGAGGGCAGCAGGAGAGGTCTGCGCGCCATGTGGGACCCTCACCGGCGGCCGGGGATCGAACCAGCGCTGCAGAGGCTATGGGCAGTCTCGCAACCCGGTGCTCAACCTCTGCACCACTGGGGAGGCCCGTGGACATTTTCTTATATAACCAAAGGTATGCCAGTGAACTTAATCTATTTTCCAGTATTTTGTTACTGGATTGGATTTAGCCAAAGTAACTTAGCTACCTTTTTCTGTATAAATTAGTACTTCTTCTACCCAAAACCATTCCTCCTTTTGTTTTCTGTTTCTGTCTGTCATTCTCAATCAGTTCCATCTCAGATACTCCCTTTCTTCAGTCTTCTGTTAAAATGCCACTTCACTGAAGCTTATCCTCCTGGTTAACTTATCTAAAATTGTAACCTGCTTCATCTCATTGGCACACAAAATTCCCTTATCTTTTTTATCTATAATTTGTTCTGTTTTTAAATTATTATTATTACATCTTTTAAAGATTTATTTATGCATACAAGCACTGGGGTACAGGCCAGAGGTGCAAGGGGTGAGAGCATTCACCAAAGACAGAGTGGGGAACAGAACTGGCAGACTGAAATACACTGCTGAGGGGAGAAGCAGGCAAGACAGGAGAGGTCTGCTGTGCCATGTGGGTAGCTCCCTGGCTGGCCGGGGATTGAACTTGTGCTGCAGAGGCTGCGGATAGCTTCACAGGGCTGTGCTTAACCCCTTGCGCCACCAGGGAGGCCTTAATTATTATTTATTTATTTATTTATTTTTAAAGATACCTTTTATTTGTACAAGAACTGGGGTACAGGCCAGAGGTGCAGGAGGGTGAGAGGATTCACCAGAGAAAGAGTGGGGAACAGAACAGGTAGACTGACGAAATACACTGCTGAGGGGTGCAGCGGGTGAGACAGGAGAGGTCTGCTTGCCACGTGGGTTACTCCGAGGCCGAAGGGGATCAAACCAACACTATAGAGGCTGCGGACAGCCTCGCAGCACTGCGCTCAACTGCCTGTGCCACCAGGGAGACCCCCTAATTATTACTTTTTTAATCCCACTTTGTCTAGAATCATACTGCATGAGGATAGGGACATACTGCAGGCATCTAATATAGCGTCTGGCACATAATAAAGAATTATTAAATAATTGTTGAATGAATGAATCTTCTCTTTATCACACCCATGCTTCCAATCAGATAGAATCTTTTCTTTCTCTACTCCAGACTTGTGGCAGTTTTTTCATGCTCTGCTTTTTTTTTCTTGTTACCTACACAATGGTTTTATCTTATAACTTGTCTTCCTTTTCATTATGATATAGTTCTGTGCAGGAATTGTCATCCACTAATTTGGTGTTTTTGAAATGATTCCTGTGTGTAGCAGTTACCAACTTTTAGGAGAAACGAAATTTATCATGCTATCAAAGAAGTGATATGATATGTCTTAGTTTTGTGGGTTTTTTTTAAGATTTATTTATTTATGCATACAAGAGCTGGGGTACAGGCCAGAGATGCATGGGGGTGAGAGGACTCACCAGAGACAGAGTGGGGAACAGAACAGGCAGTCTGACTGAAGTACACTGCTGAGGGGAACAGTGGGCAAGACAGGAGAGGTCTGCTTCGCCATGTGGGTTGCTCCCTGGCCTGCCGGGGATCGAACTTGTGCTGCAGAGGCTGCGGTTAGCTTCATAGTGCGGTGCTTAACCCCTTGCACCACCGAGGAGGACCTGATATGTCTTAGTTTTCAGTGAAATCATATTTACTGAAAAGTGAAGTCACCTTCTCTTTTAAATGCTCAGAAACCATGTTTTAAAACTATCCATTCTGAGTTGCATCTAGTGAATGAAATCTTCTAGTGATTTTCATGAAATATCCAAATTGGTTTCTTTTCAGTTTAAAATTTTTATTTTTAATTTTTAAAAATTATGCTAAAATACATATAAAATACGCCATCTTCACTTTTTGTAAGTATACAGTTCAGTGGCACATGTAGCCATTATTAGCATTTGTCTCCAGAACTTTTCTCATCTTGCAAAACAAACTCCCCATTCCTATCTTCCCCAGCTTCTGGCCACCACTATTCTACTTGTGTCACTATGAATTTGATCATTCTATGTACCTCATATAAGTGAAATTATATAATATTTATTCTTTTGTGACTGGCTTATTTCACTGAGTATAATGTATTCAAGGTTCATTCATATATGTGTTAGATTTTCTTTTCTTTTTAAGACTAAATAATATCTCCATAGTATATATTGCAATGTATTTCCATGTCATTACATAAAAGCTTTCCTCATTGAATGCAAAATATATGCAGAGTACTGCACAATATGTACCAAAAATTTACCTTCTTCATGATTTTCTCTAATTTTTTACTATCATAAAAAGTGCCACAACAAATGTTTGTAAAAATATCCTCATTTATCTACATATAGAGCCAGATTTCTAAAAATGAGATTTCCACAACAAAGATAGACCTAAATTTTGATGTTACAGTTGCTTGTATTATTTATGTACAATTATTTAAAGAACCTCTTCTGTGTGCCTGCCATTATTTAGTTTTAGTATAGAGAAGTAAATAAGACAAAGTCCTTTCCTTCATAGAACTTTAATTCTAATTCTTTGTGATATATGTATATACATATATATAATATAAAAACAATTTCTTTTTCTGCCTTTGAAGTTTAAATAGCACACAAGAAGT